AGACTGTAGCCTGGCCAATGCCACCACTTCACAGACGCAAGCTGTGCTGACAATGTGACTGAGTGCAAGAAGTTGGAGAAATTAGGGAGAGCAAAGATGACTAATTGGCTGCGCAGTGGGCTATTTTATTAACCATATGTAGGTGTGGCTGTAGAAATGGAGATTTAAGCCCATTCAGTGGTGCCTCAGAACAAAGGCCTGGTCATCTACTATCTCCCTCTGAAAAAAGTGACCGTTGAAAACCCTTTGGAAGAGCACAGTTCTACTCTGACTCACATAGTTACTGAGTCAGAATCTACTTGAGAGCAACTGGTTAACTAGTTTCTCATTTATTTACTGTAAAATAGCTTTTCTGTAGATTCTCAGTAGTCTTATGCATTCTGCTTATTTAGTTGCAGAATAAAGACTGAGCCTCAAATGGCTGAAGTCCTTGAAAAATACAATTCCCATCTTTTGGAGAATTTGTCTCGGCTTTTGATATCACTAGGGAAGAACCAATTTATGAGAAGTAAAAAGGCTGGAGAGTTCCTCAGACACTGAAAAAAGTGTCAATTAATTAAGGTTAAGGAGACGAAGGCTGAACTACTATGGTATCTGGTGTCCTTTGGAGGACCATGGCTGAACATATATGTCTCTGTGCTCATGAACTGTGTGTGTCTGAGTTCCAGTGTAACGGCCATGTCAGATTTACTGAATTAATCTGGATGAATTGAATCTGGGTTTAATTAAATCACATGGGATTGCTCATTTGGTGTTCTAGAGGGTGTGGTGCCCTGGAGGTAGTCAGAAACTAAGAGACTGAAATGAATTCTTAGAAACTGCAGCTTTGTTCTAATATTGAGACTTGGCTTTTACGAATCCTGACTGCATTTAACTAAAGGATTGACCTCAGTTTGATTGAATACAATTTGGCTTTAAATTTGGTCTCTTCTAGACTGGTAGAATTGCAATGCAATGCATCCTAGTCAACGTACAAGTTGAAGGCCAAGATAATGCATTTGAGAAATAAGGTTTAAATAAAATTGGGGCCAAATTTTATAATCAGATTATTTGCCCTCCATGCAAGGTGTATTCTTGGATCATCATAGTGACTTCAAGAATTTAAATTAATACATGTGATTCTCTTTCTGGTAAGAAAATAACACTATACAGTTTAGAAATCAGTGGGACACATATAACTAATATGCCTTTATTGCAGGTGCATCTTTCTGAAAGATGTTGGCATCAAGAAAGTTCAGATGCCTCAAAAAGACCAGAAAAGTCTGTGTTACCTTCATCCACCACTTCTTCCATAGCATTTCCTTATCAGTATTTCCTTTTGACTACAGTGTCCTTTTAAGGACACTTAGATGTTCTGTGCTGTTCTCCATATTCCCAGGCTATCTCCTTTGCATCTCTTACAGAACATACCGTTTTAAAATAAAGCATTTTGATATTTGTGCATTAGTAAGACACCATCTTTGTTATCAGGATATATTTAAAGAGCATAGTAGAGACTTAAAATACATATATATCATTAAAGTTTTTCCTTACCACTCAAGTTATTTCCATAAGGTCTAGGTGAGGCTTAATTTAAGGCTGCATCAGATATCCATCCTAACAGGCCCACAATGCTGGGCACTGTGGAACTTAACTCTAGTGGCTGTCCCAGGGCTAAAATGCTGCTCTACTCTGCCCATGACAGACATCACCCTGTAAGTCATAGGGTGTGGGGAATGATGTTACTGTGGAGGGTTAGAGAAAAAGAGGGAGACCCACAGCGAGATGAACTGGCCAAGTGGCACCATCAATGGGCTCAAGTGTAGCAACAATAGTGAGGTTGGTCCAGGATCAGGCAGTGTTTTGTTCTGCTGTGCATAAGGTTGCTATGAGTCAGCACTGACTCAATGGCACCTAACAACACAAAACATGCCCATATTGTGTAGAGTTGAGACTCCAGGAATTGTCTTTCTGAGTCTAGGATTAACTTGGACTTTGTTGAGTTTGATGCCTAGAACACCTCAAGTTTTATGGTTACCCAAGGAACACACATTCTCACCCTGAGCATTATTAGCCTACACCTAGAAGAGACAAAGTCTCATTACAGCAGGCCAGAGAATCCATTCCTCATTTATCCTCTACTGTCACTAACTCTTGCATTTACAAGTGGAACTACCTGCTACTAATGAAGGGGCAGATTGGCCAGCAACTCTTTTGAAAAATATGGAGTATTTTAAGCTTGTTATGAATATTCCAAGGTCAGTCCAAAATAGCATCTTGATCTTGACTTAAACATTATTGGACTTTTAAACCTGAATGACTCTTAAATACATATGTGGATAAATCAAAAGGTATCGCCACACAATCATAGAAAGCTTTATTAAATAAAAATATAAAAATGAAAACATTGGTTCTCAATATACCCTCCATGCAGGTCCATATGCTTCTACATGTTTTCATCCTTCTGCACTCTTTGATTTATACCACATCAAAATGGCAGTTTGGGCACCCTTGGGGAACTCAAGCTGTCTTCTTTGAAATGTCCTTTGAGTTTGGGGAACAAGAAATCTGAAGGGGTAAGATGAGGGCTGTAGGGTGTATGGGGTAAGGTTTCCCAGGGCATTTCTCGTAGGACAGCCCTTGCTACTTTTAAAGACTAAGCAAGTGTAATGATGTGATGGAAAACACTCCCTGGGACTTTTCTGGCTATTTTCTCACCAATAGTTTGCCATTTTCTTAAAACTTCTTCCCAGTAAGCTCCTGTGATAATCCTGTGTCCTTCCAGAAAACTCTATCAAGATTATCTCTTTGGAATCCCCAAAACACAGCTGCCGTAACCTTCTGAGCTGACCTCTCTGCCTTGATTTGAAGTGGTCCACTGTTTTGACTGGACCTTTTTTTTTTTTTCGAAAGCACCCTAAAAAGACTAATACAAGTGTATTATTGAGAGAACTGGTCTGCAGCGATCCACTAATTACAGATATGTTTTAACATATTTTGTTTGGAATAAACCCAGGCATGTATAACTGGAAACCTAGCAGCAATTCTTTTTGACTTACGCTCATGGATGTTTTTTCAAAAGATATGATCATGTTATTCTTAAGATGTATATGTATACACACATATTGCATACATGTTAATACCTATGTGTGTGTAGTATAATTTAAAAATTTTCAAAAAAACTAAATCTAGGTTGAAAGAAACAAAATCCAAACACACTGCCATAGAGTTGATTCCAACTCATAGCGACCCTAGGTAGGTTTTCAGAGACTACAAATCTTTATGGGGCATTCAGTCTTATTTTTTCTTGGGTTTGAACTGGAAACCTTGTGGTTGGCAACCGAATGCCTAACCTACAATGAAGTCTAAGTGAGTGACTGTGTTAAGTGAATGTAAACCTATCACTCCTGTGGTAAATCACTTAAGTATTCTTTAGAAGTGAGTATAGTTTTATACATAAATTTACTATGTTTTTAAAGATAGCATTAGTATTAATTAAGTAGATCCACAGGTAAAATGGATTTTATGGGAGAAATTTTGACATTTTTATTTATTACTGGTAGACATCAAGTTAATATTTTCATTTTGAATGAAACACCTTGGTATGTACCACAGCTTAAAATATAATCTAATATAAAACAATCTGGCACATAATTCCACCCTTACCCTTATAATTTAACATGACCCTGAACGTGACAGTACTGTAAAACATTACTTCTTAAATACAAGCCTGACTGCAGCCCTTAGCTATCCTCTCCATGTTTGCCTCTAGTTCCTCTGGGCTTGCACTGCTGCCTGCACCTCACCATTGCCCTCACTGGTCTAGTAATAACACTTGGTATTTTTGTAGCACCATTTGTAATGGTTCAAAGTAATAGACAGACACTGACTCATCTATACTTCCAGTGTCTCTGTGAGAAAGAAGCAGAGCCCTAACGATCTGGATTCTGTATAAGATGAAGAACCTGAATCAAGCTGTGTTGTTCAATAGTAAGAAGACTTGACGCAAAGTCTCATTTGCACCGCAAATTCAGGTATAGATGGTTCCTACTGCACTGCTTTTGAATGGCCAGGTACTTATTCCCTTCTGTATGTTTATTTTGTGGAGCATTAGAGATGACAGAAATTAAACTCCTTGTACTGATCCCAAGCCACATATAATGTGAGCTAAGATGAGGGTCTCCTGAATAGGAAATCTGTGGAATGAGCACACATGTCATTATCTCTCTGGTGATATATGCCTGTCATCTTTTCTCTACTGAGAGGGCATGGAAAAAACATCCAGACAGCAACATATCACAAAAGCTACAAAACTCTATGCTCTTAGCAAGTTAAAACAATTAATGTAAAAATAGTTTAAATTACTTTGAAACTTTAATTACAGATATTTTTCCATTCAACATTTCTGAATTGAAAGTTTTGATCCTTTCCATTTTTGCATAAAGACTGTAAAGGTGGTTTAGCTAAACCTTGTGTCTTTTCATATTTACATATCCACACCCAAGTCTCTTCCTTATTAAAAGGCATCTTGATCACAGTCCTAAACCAACTCTGTACTGGATCCTAGGTTGTAAAATTCAGAAAGCAAAACAATTTCAAAGAAAGGCAGGAAGCAATCCTAGCAAAAAGGCAGTAAAAGTTATAGTTGATCTTTGTTTCTTCTAAGCTCAACTTAGAAGTATAATAATAATTAAGAGGGAAAATTAGAAGGACCTAGCGCTCATCCTTGCTGCCCTACCACACACACCAGCCAGAAACGCCCTGCAGTTTTAAAGTGCAATTACTACTGTGGAGTCACACAAGCCTGGGATCAGACTGGATGAAGTTCAAAGCAGAAACTTCACACAAGTACTGCTCCTGACTCAGGGGCTGGGAAGGAGAGCAGAGAAGGGATTATGAAAAAGAATGACAGTTCTCAGACAGTTAAGTGCATCGAGAAATACATGCCCGTTCTTTTTGTAAGAAGAATCTGTAAATTGTGAGGAATCCTGGTTTGTAAAAATACATCTTTTCAGAAAGTTCTATCTGAGGATGTTCCAATTCAGCATCGTCCAAAGGCAGGCGATCACAGTAAGGAAGGTAGGGAAGCTACTGCTTTGGGGGACCCCACTCCCATACTGGTGGGGTCTGTGTTCCTCAGTCAAGTCCTCAGCCCTGGGTACAGAGGAAGCGCACTGAATCAAGGGCATCTGGTAAGATGTGGCTCTCTTCTCTGGCCTGTCAGGACTGGACCCATCACTGGGCCTCTGGCCATTGAATAAGAGGTATCTGCCCTGGGCATCCTGCTCCATCTTGAAGATCTCGTACTCCGTGTGAGGCAGCTTGATGCCTAAGGCCACACAGCCATTGGTGTGTGTTACATCCTGCTGGACACCCACCTTCCAGGAGCCCTCGGCCCCACACTCATTCCCACTGAAGACATTGAGAAGTGAGGCTGTGGCTGCATCCATGGGGGTGACCTTCATGTGGTTCACTGGAGGGAGAAAGAATAGTGTCACTGAGTAAGTGTGTGGCACTTACTGAGTAAGTGTAAGCCTGCTGGTACAGAATCTGAAAGTACTAGTTCTAGAGAAGGCACTCTCGTTAAAACCATCTTGCACAGCATGCCACCTGACCACAGTCCTCTCTGCCATCAAGTCGATTCAGACTCATCAAAGCACACTTGTCCCTTAGGGTTTCCGAGACAGCAAACCTTTATGGTTGCAGACAGCCTCATCTTTCTCCCATGGAGTGACAGGTGGGTTTGAACCACCAACCTTATGGTTAGCAGCTCTTTGCTTATCCTACTGTGCCACCAGGGCTCCTTCTTAGAACAAAACCCTGCCTGGTTCTGCGCTACCCTCACAATTAAGAGTATACTGATATGGAAAGATACAAGGTATTTGCATGAATGGTAGTCCCACCAAATACACCCACTGCAGTTGTCACCAGAAAAAAAATCCATTACATCTGTGTATAAATGCTGAGCCCAGACATAAAACCAGAACACAAAGTGGTCACAAATAGATGTATTTGACTGCACCAACCTTTTGAGTTTCATAGACCAGTCAATGAAACTGGAATTTTATTTCTATGTAAGAATGTTTTGAGGTCTTTAAAAGTTTTAGTGCCACACACTAAAAATTAGCATTCTTGGAAGTAGATACAGGCCCATCAAACTGGCATCTAAAATAAATAAGGCTTTAAGCAAGACAAAAATGAAAAAAACATACAAAATACAAATCCCAGCACTTGTACAGGATTACTTCTGAAGATCCTTCCAGGGGATTAAACTTTATGTATAACACAAGATACATCGTATTAGTGTGGGATCAGGCAAAGATTCCTCTGGTCCTCTTGGTTGAGACTATCAAAGGTCCAGCATTCCAGGAGCAAGCATTCATTCTACATAGGTGAATTAATAGAAATGCTCCAAATGAAACTGACTGAACCTGGTATGCACCCTGGAGAGAGTCACACCTCTTTATTTGACCATGGCAGAGCTGAGATCATTTTATGAAGACATCCAAACTTTAAAAAAAAATCTAGAAAAAGTCCACCAGATTTCCATCTGGCAATGCTGCATGGTGCAAATGGCTAAGCACTCGACTCCTAACTGAGAGACTGGAAATTCAAACTCATCCCAGAGGCACCTTGGAAGTAAGGCCTAGTGATCTGCTTTTGAAAGGTCATAGCCATTGAAAACCCAATGGAGCAATTCTACTCTGCACATGAAATAGCTAGCAGTTGAATCAACTTGATGGCAAATGTTTTGCCCTCTCTTGTTGAAAACAGCCTGATTCACCTCATTCTTATCTACATAGGATTCATCTTATTTACTGGCTCATATCATCTTATCGACATCACCTAGACAAACAGTTCTTAGTATACACCTTTCCGAAAGACACAGCCACCTCATGGACAGAAGCTTTCAAGTAATGATAATCTCAGGGCTCTGGTCACTTCAAGTGTGACCAACACTGTCTTCTATAGCCTCTAGAAAGTGAGTGTGGTTCTCACAGGGGTGACTTCAAATTGGCCATAAGTTGTATATAAGAAAGGAAGCATAGAGTAGTAACACACTAATAAATGGAGTCCTAGTGTGGGCTCTAGGATAAGCACTGGACTGCTAACCACAAAGCTGCCTCCTTGGACACCTCATACAGGCTCGCTATGAATTGCCACTGGCTCGATGGCACTTAACAACACACTACCAGTGTCTCTCTGGCCAATGGGACCTGTATCTGTGGTGACTACCTAACCTGGATCTGGGCCAAGAAGTGTACAGAGTGTTTGTGACCCTTTCCTTCAAGCTTGGCCTCTATACACATCATAAATAGCTCAGGATCCCTTGGTTCTTGTGCTGTTCTAAATAGGGTTGAAGACAGACCCACCTTTGAACACAAATTCAGTGCCTCCCATGACACGGGCGGAGTGCATACCCCGGCTGTAACGACCCCTGGCATAGATGCTGAAGGTTGGGTGCTTGCAGATGGGGTCGGAGTAGTGGTAGTAGTGGCCCTCCCACGTGTTATTGTTGTCATGGAAGATGAAGTGGCGGGTAAGGAAGAGGACCTCAGGGCGCACCTCACAGCGCTGGCTCACCCACTCCCCGTGCAGGCCGATGGTCAGGTCAGCCTTCGGGGGCAGGATTGGTGGATGGAATTCATCTGATCGGTAGATAATGCGACAGGCAATGCAGGCATGGTCGTGGTTCTGTGGTCAAGAAAAAGACATCCTCAGAGACCTCTACTTTCATGGGAGAGCAATGGTACATGCTTCTTACTAGTGGGGCTCACCTTGACTAGACATATGGAGGACCTAGGTTACGTCCCCTGAGAACCATAGGACCCAACAAGCAAGAGACAGGCTTGTGTGCACAGAAAGGACAGTGTATGTGCTTGCATGTGTGTATGCACTCACCAGCACACATGTGTTTTATGGATATTATAGATCTGCTTAAGTATTTCAGGGAGTCTCTGGGTGGGCAAATGGTTAATGTACTCAGCTGCTAAATAAAAAACTGGAGGTTCAAGACCAGTCAGAAGTGCTTCAAAAGAAAGGCCTGGAGTTCTACTTCCTAAAATCAGTTATTGGAAACCCTATGGAACACAATTTGACTCTAACACATGGGGTTATCCTAAGTGAGAATCATCTCAATGTTCCAGCTAGGAAAAGAACTTTACTGGGAATCCCATCAAGCTTTTTGAAACTAATGACAGCATTGATTGCTGTGCATAAGAAGGACATTGTCCAACAAAGGCAGGATCAGGAAAGCCTGAGAGAAAGCAGCCATGGATTTTAGAGGAGGAGGCATGCAACCCTCCACCTATTGTGTCTACTAGTTGCTAGGCTTGAAGGTTTACACAGGCTCTTAATGTGCTTCCTGCTTTTACAGCTTTGAGCATTTAACTCATACGAGATAGCTGCAGATTCATCTTTCAGGAGAGTGTCCCTGGTTGAGTTTGTTTTATAGTACTCATACGGGCCTACTGCCCAAGGGCAGGCTATCTAGGACTGAATGGCATCAGAAAGCCTCACATAAGAGCATGAAGAAACATCCAGCCACTGGAATGTGCTGTTGGCCTGCAAGTCTTCAGGCTTCAAACACATTGCAGTTCAGTTGATTCTGATTCACTGTGGTTATGTTCAGTGCCGTGGGGTAGGTTCCGACCCACAACAACCCTGGATAGGATTTTCAGTGAGTGGCCGGTGGCTTTGAACCGCCAACTTTGTGTTTAGTAGTATAGTGCTTATCCACACCAGGCCCCCTTATGTGTCAGAGTTGAACTAAACTCCACAGGATATTCAATGGCTGTGTTCTTATGGAAGTAGGTCACCAGGTCTTACTTATATCAGTGATTTGCTAACTTTTGGTGAATAGTTGAGCACAAACCATTTGTGTCTCCCAGGGATCTTAAGGGTTAACCAGTATCTCTAGGCCTGGAAGTCAGAAGACCTGGGTTCTTGGACATACCCTGCCATTATCTAGCTGTCTGACCCAAGTCAAATGAAAGCTCTGGCCAAGAGTGGGAACAATCTTACTGCTATGCTTTCTACAGCACAGCCTGTTATAAAGTCAACTGGGCTAACAAAATATTCAACAAAATTGAATGCACAATGCAAATATGATGAAGGTGAGGCGGGGAGAATGGTGTAGTTCACAGAGTTTACAGGGAACAGCTCTGCTGCTATCAAGGTCAGCAGTAGTCCCAGGCCCAAGTGTTCATGCAGAACAGCTCCTGTGAACATGACTGGAAGGGCACTCACTCTTCTGGGCAGCAAGCATGTGTTTGCCTGCATTTCTTCACTAGCGTCAGAAATAAAAATCACCAAGATCTTTTCGTTTTTAGCACTCACTCGATTTGATATTGCTGTGGTTGTGGTTTGATTTGTTTTAGATCGTGGCTTTTTCAAGGAGGGCAGAGGAAGAAGTGGGCTTTTGTTACCTTCTTTTTACATTTTCATGTAGAAGCAGATGATAAGCTTAGGTTGCTGTTTCATTAAATGAGTTTAAATTTGCAATTGATGGAAGAGACTGTTTCCTTCGTGAACATCATTCATCGCTTGTAAACAATGAAATAAAACTGGCTTCAAGAGGGTGAGATGACAGCAAAGTCCCCTGCTGTCCCCAGGTCTGCTTTCTATTTGCCATCCACTGTTTGCTGACAAGGGGTTCTGGAGCACTGAAGACCCTGCCCCTCAGCCTGTGGTGCTCTCTGCAACTTACAAGAGGGGAAGGCACTGGTACTCACTTGGTTAGGATTGTCCTGAATTGCAGCACATAAGTAGAAGGCTCTGGCCAGGTACTGGGGCCAGGCCCATCCTTTAAGCAGCAACTGTTAGTCATGTTAGGCAAGTTATTTAATCTCAGGTTTAAACTCCTCATTCATAAAGTAGGACTCACTCTGGGCAGACTCAGGTTCCCATTCAGGGTTCTAAGAACATTCAGAGGAGGGAATTGTGGGTGATGACCAGAAGAGAGCGGAAATGTGTGGCATGACTCCTACACATAAGCACTCTTATCTTTCTATTGCATGTTATGGTGAATACGACACAAATTTAGCTAAAAGCATCAGGTAACTCAATAATGTTTCCATTTTTCAGTAACTACTCTGAGGTAAAGGTTCCAAAATGTTTATCCTGCAAAAGGGTTGGATATTCAAAATGGAGGATGGAAAGTTAATATACTGCAGAGAATGATCATCAGAACCATACTTGCTGTCCACACTCCCCTCCCTCCCCAATCAGGTATACTGGATTCACACCAGCATGGTACTGGGGCTCAAATCTCATTTCTCAAACATGAGTTGGGGTTTGGAGCTGCAGTGTCTGGTGTCTGATGCAGGAAGACACTGAGGTTGTGAGAAGACCCTACTTCCATGGCCTACAAGGATTTCCACCATATTATGGAAAGAGAGAAGCCTACAGGAAAGCATGTTAGATCAGTGTGAGTGGTGCTGGATTACCCAATGAGCAAGTTAAACATGGACTTATACTTTGCTTACTGACATTACAGACAGAATCACTGAAAGTTGTATTTTACTATTTAAAAGAGAAAGGTATGGCACTATAGGATAACCACTGGACAGCAAGGTTGGTTTGAACCTCAAACTCAGTGGTTCAAATCTACCAGCCACTCCTTGGAAACCCTATACAGAGTTGTTATGAATTGGAATCAGCTCGACGACACTTAACAACAACAACAACAACAGAGAAATTTCTTCCACAGCACCTGGGTCCTAGCATTACTTGGGGAATACCTGCTACAGGTGCAAACCAAACAATGCAATGTATTCATCACACAAGGTGTAGGTAACCTGCATTGCAGGGGAGACCTCGGTGTCTTTCAGATCTGGGATCGTAGAAACTATGAACTCAGGCTCCCTTCAGTTACCTAAAGAGATCACATGATTCCACTTTCAGAAAGAAGTTGGGTGGGCAGTTGCATGCATGCATTCTGTGTGTATCTCTCTAACTGTAGCATCAGGCAGCCACGACCAGCAGCTTCAGTTGTCTGCCCCAGCAATCCAACGTCTTCTCAGAGACGGTACCGAAGTCAGGTTAGGTACCGACTTCACTTGCTGGCCATGCAGGAAACACTTGTTACACAGCTGTAGAAGGACTGCCAGAGCCTTATGGGAACACTGCACAGTGACATGTAGCTTGCTACAACTATCCATAAAGGATCTTGGGCCCAGAAAATGGTGGAAAAAGACAAATAAAATGAGCGCCAATTCCCCAGACTGTATTCCGTTACTGAACCCTTACAGGAGGAGGACAAGTCAACTGAAAACTCTTGCACCTGGTGTTAAGAAGGTCTACAGTAGTAACATTCTGCTTATTAGGGAAACGGGTTCCCTAAGAAGTTCAACCAGCTTCCATCAAATCAATTCTGACTCATGGTGACCCACTGTGAGTCAGAGTAGAACTATGTTCTGTCCAGTTTTCAGTGACTGATTTCTTAGAAGTGATTGTCAGGCTTTTCTTTTGAGGCATGTCTGGGGGAACTCAAACCTTCAATCTTCTGGTTAGCAATTGAGCACATTATCCATTTGCACCATTGAGGGTCTTAAGGAATATCACTAATCACAACAAAAAGACAATGTTGCATTCTATTAAAGAGACAATGTATAGACTCGACAGCTAGATAAAAAGGACCACAAGCACCTGGTTATCTCGTAGAAATGACTTTAAGAATGATTTCAGGAAAAGAATGTGTTTAATATTTACTTGTTTCTTTTACATCATTTACTTTAAATGCATTTATGATTATTTTTAATAATTTAATTACATCTATTATGAATCCCAAATGGTTTGGATCATTTCTCCTTCTATTCTTTCCTCACAGTGCTTAGCTGAATACTCCTTAATAAATATGCTTGCTGAGTGGGTTGACTTTGGGTTTGTTCAGGTTTCACTCTATCCTCTTGGCTTTCTTGCCTCTGGAGGGATAAAATGTATACCACTCTCATTGTCCCTAGCAAAAAGTATTCCCTGGTCTTTTAACTACTTAAATATGTCAACTCTGAATGCTTGCTTAGCTTTGTAGCCAAGAGGGATAATGAACTGGTTTAGAAAGAAAAGTGTATGACAGCAGCTGCATCATACAGCAGTGACCCTTCACACATTGACCCAAATACAATAGAAAGCAACCCTTTCAGAGTCAAGACCATGTTCTGATCCCAGCAGCTCATTTTTTTTTTTAACATATATTTATAATGTGTAACATCTATTGTGTATATATATACCTAACTCATTATTAATATAAGACTGGCTTCTAAAATTATTTTGAGTCATGAGTCCTTAAACTTCCTGGTACTCCAACATTTCCTCCAATTTCCCCATTCTACAAGTCCCTCTTCTTTCTCTTATACTGGGAGAATGAGAGGACAATACTTGAATTTCTTCCACAGCACCTGGGTCCTAGCATTACTTGGGGAATACCTGCTACAGGTGCAAACCAAACAATGCATATGAGAAAGTTTCAAAATATACATGGAAAAATTCCATTATATTTTCATCCTATTTTTCTATGATCTTTTGAAGTCTCCTTCCTCATACAGAGATAAGCTTCTCCTTGCAGAGTTGATCTTTATGGACCTAGGTTAAATCCTCCATTGCCCATGGACGCTACCTAGTCCAAAGGCCCTCTAATGTCACAAATATTAGGAAGCCCCAAAGTTAATTTATATTTTTCACTTACTGTGTAAGACAGACCACCTCTAAAACATATGCTAACTCACAACCTAGAGGTTTCTACAGAATTCAACAGAGAAGCATGTATTTTAGTTGAGGAACTCTAAAAAGTTTTGGTGTTGTTTTTCCTCTGACACACATCGCCACTCCTGTGTGTATGCTTGGAAAAAATATTTAAGATAGAGCCTGGGGGAAGCTGTCTGGTTTTCAGACAACCTGATTTACCACCCTGTGGCTAAAGCAGTGCAGGGTTTTGGAGAAAGACCAATTTTATTTGCTTAAAAGTCTGATCCTGAGCCTTTGGCATTTCTAACTAACCCAGCAGTCATTTGCTTTTAATTACCATCTGAAAGACTGAACCTAGTTAACCCTTCAACTGTAGGAGCCTTCAACAGTTCTGAGGAATACAAGCTGAGGATTATGGCTGCCAACATTCAGCTGCATTTTTTAAAAAGTTTTATTTTAGGTTGTCTTGATTGTTTTAATGAAGAGTTGCCAATTCCATAATGAAAGGCTGCTTCAAGCACACCTGATTCTCTTCAAATATTGCAGACTTGCCAAAGACCCCTGAACCTCAGGCAAAGTTGAATAAAGCTTTAAAAAAAAAGGTTGACTTAATGTTTCTATTTTAACATGGTGTCCTGTTTCCAGAGGGGCCTGAGACTAGTGGTTTCAAACTCAATTTAGCATTTAAGCTAATTTTCAGCCAGGTCTCTAAGGACCAGCAATTAGGAAAAGCAAAGAGTTCAAAGAAGAAGGGTTATAACCTCTGAAAGGCATGTTTGTGAGGTCTGTAGAAATACTTCTAGCAGCCCTTCTTCCTGTTCTCAGTCCCAACAGCTGCCAGCAGGTCAAAGAACCTGCTGCCACACAGTCTGCAGCAGGCAGAGAAAACGGTAGGTTTTCATTTCGCTATGCCTGGAAAGACACCAATGTCTAAGTCCATTGATTCATACTCAGAGCTGTCCTAAGGAAGGGATCTAAAAACATCCTGACAATTTTGCTGTGGACTGCAGGCCAAGAGGTACAGCACAAAGAACAACATGAGAAGAATGGTCCCTTTCAGCTCCCAGAGCTGTGAGGATACAGACTGTTGGGCCTTAGGGGTCAGCCTTTGATGAGTACTCCCTCCCTCAGCCCTCCAGGCTGGCTGATAGGAAGTCAAAGTGGTCTGTGTGCTGAGATGGGAGTCTGGAGGCCAGGGCCTCCCCCAGCTCTGCGCCATCTTGATCTGTGCCCCTGCCCCCTCTTCCTCTAAGCCGCAGAGTCCCAGCTTTCCATTGCCACTCCCATTTTCATTTTGTGTGTTAACAAGGTACAAAAAGGTGGCTAATAAGACGTTTGTCTAATGTCCGCAGCTATGCAGCTCCCTTCCTCAGAGGTGACCCTGCAAAGCGTCCTATGTGCCCTTTTAGAAATACTCTATTCCTTTGCAAGCATATCTTTTTCTTTTACATAAATGGTATTACACTATTCATGCCATTAGGTATCCTCCTTTAAAAAAAAAAGACTTAGTAGTTGTGGTAAATAAACTACAGGCAGTTTCCACCTCATAGCAACCCCTGTATAGGGTTTCTGAGGACTACTGCAGGGTTTCAACTGCTGACCTTGTGGTTAGCAGTCCAGTGCTCATCCTACTGCACCACACCAGGACTCCAAACTTAGTATTATATCCTAGATAACATCTAAGATCTTTTCCTATGTATTTCCAGAATCAGGTCTAGGGTTAAAAAATGTACTTCTTAAAAATCTGGGTATATGTCCCATACTGCCTTAGCGGAGAAGGGAGGAGGAAATGGGAGGAGGCATTTTATAGTCAGGCATCATAAAGCATTTTGATGTTCCCCAGCCTGTAAGAGCCACAGATCCAGAGGGCTACTTACTAAGACCCACTGAGGAAGTGAGGCAGCTTTGGCCAGGTGCCCTTTAAAGACATCATCATGCATATTAACCCAATAAATTCTTCTACTTTCATCATTTTATAGAAACAAACAAACAAAAACCTAAGGTTCTAAGAGATGAAATAGCAGAATTGGATTCCAGGATTGACTACCCATTCCACAGTTCATATTCTTGCGATTTTATCCAGCTTACACCCAGAACAGGAGTCCTGGTATGGCTTAATGCACCAGAGTGCAAAGCCATTTGAACTGCAAGGTCGGCAGTTAAAGCTCACCAGCTGCTCCTCGAAAACAGGGTTTCCATGGGTCAGAACTGACTCGATGGCACTTAACAACAACAACAACAAACACTCAAAACAAGTAACTTTTCAACTTTTTGACTTTTAAGAATTCTAAAATGATCAGCCTGACAACTATGATCCTTCGTTCCCATGCCAATGTTTAATAACTTTCACTTTCAAGACACTGTCCCTCCAGTTGGCCTAAGTGTGTGCTGCTCTCCTGACACACACTGAACAGGCTGAAGTCACTCCTATCGAGACCTGGGGATTGAGTGCCAGAACCCACTGGAACTAGAAGACTAAGAACTGTTTGTTTTTATTTTGTAGACCACCATGTTTAGAACCATACGTCTAGAAGGACAAATACTGAATTGAAGGTGAAGAGGTAAGAAAAATGGTTATGGCTAATGCCTTTTTTGATCAGTGCTAAAAAGAGCTTGAAATATCAGGAGTCTCAAGTTGGCACTTACAGGTCAGGAAAACAAATTTAAAGGCATGCAAATGACTAGTCTAAGGTCAAAGCTGGAACAGAGGAGGAGCCTGTAGTCCTGACTGCAGTCTAGGCAAGTCCCATGACTGGTCCTTACCTGCTTGATTTTTGCTCTTTTGCTGCTCAGTGTGTCTTAGTTGGAAGATGAGCAGGAGATGAAGACAATTTTGTTTGTTTAGCAGATCTTAATAAAGGCTCAGGGGTGGACAGAGGTTGATGCTCTTGACCAAAATGAAGTTTCTGGATTATCTGTGGACAACTATCACTCATAGCTTCCTTATCTCTCATTACCAGAGAAAATGCGAAAGTTGACTTAGATCTACTCAGAGAAATCAGATATAGATATGGAAGTCCCTTTCCCCCTACTATTAAATCAGGGATTTCAAGAAAAATGTTACTTAGCTGCCATGTTCAATGCTAACTCTGGATACTACTGTCCACTGGAAAGGCCCCCAAATGAAAGTGAAAGCCCATTATTCACACCACTTTTCAGAAGACTTCTACTGGAGCCTGGACCAAACACCACCACCCTGGCTGAGGTCTTGTTCTGATGAACAGATTCTCCTCTTTCTGTCTTTCCTTGATAAGGGCAGAGGGTTCTAAGAGAATCTCTGGGATACCTGATGGCAGCAAGTATGGAGTCAAACATGAGAGGTGGACCCTCTCTGGTCCTAACATACTTTCTTCTTCAGCTGGTTTGCAACTCATAATGCAGAAAATAACAGGCCTGGCTCTTATGCCAGGAACAAACCCTGTGGCATTCTGGGCCTGCTGGCAGGCTGCCCACACAGGCAGGGGTGCAGGCAGCTTTGGTCCAAGGGCTCATGGGTAGGCTTACTTCCACTACACACTCCTGCATCCCTAACAAGATGACTCCACCAAGCAGGTGTTCACTAGATTTTTCAAAAATATAATAAATGACACTTTCATTGCATGGACTCACAGTAATGGATAAAAAGAGATAACAATGAGTGCTCTTTGGCAGGGGAAGTCCCCTCTGTGACACCACAGTGAGTTATGAATCAGCTCAGAGGATGAATGAAGAAAAAGACTTTACAAAATGAATAAAATGACAAGCACAAGTCAAATTGAGTTCTATAATTAGAAAGTCACTGATCCAGAGAGGATCCCACAAAAGCTCTTATGAATGGCTGGGGGCCACTCTGAAAAGACCTATAGCAGGGCTGAGCAGCTCCCCAGGATGACCACTAGGAAGCAAACTGCCCTCCTAGTCTTGAACTTCACAAGCTTCTGTGGTGGAAATGATCAAGTTACATATCTGACATGTATTCTGAACTTGCGGGAAGGAAATGCTTTGTGAATTCCAAATGTAATTATTAGACTATCATTCAAGAACAGAGCACTGTAAAGTTTTAATTGTTTCCTGACCTCTTTAATCATCCCTTCTGATCATAGTGATTTTACATTTGATAAAAATTAAAGAATGTGAGATTTGGAGCAAAAAGATTTGGTTCAAATTCCAGCACTCATTAACTATGTGATCTTGGGCAGGTCACTTAACCCTCAAATCTTAAATTCCTCTTTTGCATGAGAGGGTAGTAATAATGTCTACCTCACAAGTCATTGTGAAGACACACTGTATGTGAAAAGGCCAGAGGTTCCATGCAAGTCATACTGCTATTCCCTCTGCTGTCCCTCCCTACTTCTGCCATCAGGTCTTGTGGCATTGCTGTGGTCAGTGTCTCTGCCAAGTGTGGCTACACACTGCTCATCTATCCTTCCTCTTATAATTCCAGGAGCAGCTCCTGGATGGTCAGAGTTGAAAGGAGCCTTAGACAGTCTCAGCACAATCACTCCTGCCACAAACATATCACCACCACTCATTTCAAATGGGACAACTGAGGCTCAAAACCACAGGGTCAGCTGGTGGCATACCCAGGGTTCCTGACCCGGCAATGTGTCCCTCAAATGCAGCCCCCACCTCCTAGTACACCCTGCCTCAGTCTCCATTCTGTGACTTAGTAGCCACACTTTCTCAGGTCCCCTGGTTCTGACATGCCTTCACAATGGGCCACTCATCCTCTGCGGAGCACAGGAGAGGGCAGGCTCTAGAGGAGGTAGTTGAAGCAAGTACCTTGGCATTTTGCAGGGGTGGCTGATAACTTGATGGCCGGTAAAACATCCTCTGGGAGGCATCTGTGTGGATGTCGCCTAAGAAGAGCTCCTCTACGAGGTGGTCTAAGTTGTGGTGCAAGTACTGCTTCTCCACCCGGATCAGCTGCAGCTCGTGCATGGCAAAACTCACAGCCCTGGTGCACTCACAGCCACTCTCCTCATGCCACAGGTCATGGGGGACATCCTGTGCCCAGGGGCTCCCGGCTGGCACAAACCCAGGACATGTGCGGTTCACCAGCTGGCTAAGCCTCTCGGCAGTGGCTTCGGTGTGGCAGATAACCTGGACGTGGTGCAGCTGGTAGTCAGCTTCTGTGCCCCCTCGGATGATCCAGGAAGCTTGGCGCAGACGGATCTTGCCGCGGACGACAAGCGTATAGGTGGGATTTGTGCAGCGGTTGCCACCATAGTAAAACTGGTAGGCTTTGAAGGTGTTATTGTGGTAGAATCTGTAAGATCTTGTTATGAACTCTGGGCCTGACCTTACTTCACACCTGAAAAATACAAGAGGAAGACTTTTTAAGGCGCAAAGCTTAAGGAAGAGATTCAGAATCAACCCACTGCTGCTGAGTACATTCCAACTTAGAGACCCAATAAGGCAGAGTAGAACTGCCCCGGGGGGTATCCAAAGATGTAAACTTTTATGGAAGCAGATGGTTACATCTTTCTTCCTCAGAGTAGCAGGTGGGTTCAAATCACTAACCTTTCTGTTAGCAGCCAAACGCTTAACCACTGTGCCACCAGGGATTCTTTGAGACTCATGACAGTGTTAATAACAACAAAATGTCTAGTCTGGGCCAGACACTGTTCTAAGAACTTTATTTATGCTCATTTGTTGATTCCTCACAATTATGTAGGGGTTAGGTATTATTATCATCCACATTTTACAGATAAGAAAACAGAGCCACAGGGAAGTTACTAAAAAGTTCAAGGTCACAAAATTTTATGAGTCCAGAGTGTAAAGCCTTTTGAACTGCAAGGTCAGTGGTTTAAGCTCACCAGCTGCTCCTTGGAAACCCTATACATGGTCACTATGGGTCGGAACCAACTTGAAGGCCCTTCACAACAATAACAACTTATGTGTTGTTGTTTTTTTTCCCCAATGAATACATTGATTGTTTTTGTTGTTGTTGAGATTTGCAGCAATTTGAAAAAACTCACAGATAAATCATGTTAGGCTTTAAAAATGAAAAAATTTAAGAAAAAGGTTATGTCATGAATGCATAAAATATATGCAGATTTTAATCAATTTAATAATTTACTACTATAAGACATATACAAATCTGTGATAAAAAGTGGAGTTCTGGTGTAGTGCTGTAGGATAAAGCACTGGGCCACAAGGTTGGTATGAACCACAAGGTCGCAATTCAAAGTCACCAGCCACTCCTTGGAAACTCTACACAAAGTGGCTACGAGTTAAACTCACTGGATGGCACTTAACAACAGCAACATTACAAAGAGTTAAAATATATCAAAACTTACACACATAAACACTTAGCAACCATACATGGTACTAGTCATAGTTGAGAGAAATGTAAACAAATGTAAAGATGCAGTATTAAATCATAACAGCATAAAATTAATGGCAGATTACACCATATTCATTGGTCTTGCAAAATGTTATCATGTAATCTCCCAGATAATTTTGATTATCAAGGCCATATTTCCAACTATGGATCCTTTCTCTTGGTTTCCAACTTTTGCATTATAATCACAGTAATTATCAATGCATCTTGACTGCATACTTGATCAATTTCTGACTAAAGAAGTAGAGAGAAGTAGTTAATTTCATCATCACTGGCTTTAGGGTTTGGTGCATAAATTTGAATAACAGTTGTAATTAAGTAGTCTTTTTTGTAAGTTTGTATATTATCCTATCACAGACAGCATTGTTCTTTTTGATGAGGAATGAGTCACCATTGCTCTTCGATGTATTGTTCCTGGCATCATAAACCACATGACTGTTGAAATTCAAAATGACCAATACCAGGCAATTTTAACTAACATGGGTGCTCTGTAGGATAAGCAGTGCACGGTGAGCCACAAGGTCCACAGTTCAAACCCAAAAGCTATTGCATGAGAGAAACATGAGACTTTCTGCTCCTGCAAAGGCTTAAAGCCTCAGAAACCCTCTACAGGGTCACTCTAAATTCGAACTGACTCCATGGCATTTAAAAACCACAATGCCTAGGATTATCAATCTTTACTAATTCCGTTTCATTTTTGACAGCTTTCAATTTACCTAGATTCATACTTTTTATTCTTTATGTTCTGAATATTAATGGGTGTCTTTAGCTGTATCCTCATTTTAAGTTGTACCCCATGATCAAATGAAGGTCCTGCAAACTTTGCTCCATTCACATCACTATGGTCAACTCTACTTTGAGTCAGAAGCTCTTCCTCAGTAGTATTTTGAGTGCCTTCCAACCTGAGGTGCTATCTTCTGGCACCATATCTGACAATTCATAACGTTTTCATATTCTGGCACTATATCTGGCAATGTTCAGTTGCTATTCATAAGGTTTTCAATGACTAACCATTCAGAAACACTCTGCCTCTCCCTCCAAAGCTGTCTTAGTGTGGAAGCTTCACTGAAGCCTGCTCACCAGGTGTGATCCTGCTGGTATTTAAGATACTGGTGACATGGCCTCTAGCATTACAGCCACACGAGTCACCACAGTAGGACAAACTGACAGGTGACTGTTGTTGCTGGTAAGTGCCGTCGAGTCGGTTCCAACTCATAGCAACACTGTATAGGGTTTCCAAGGCTGTTAATCGTTGTTGGAGTAGAAAGCCTCATATTTCTCCCACAGAGTGGCTGGTGGGCTCAAACTGCTGACTTTGGGTTTGCAGTCCAGTGATTACTATATAGAGCCAGCCACCGTGCTCCCAAGATGAGTGGTGGGAAGTAATTTATGACAATTTAAAGCAAAAGGAAGGTAAAGGATCTAAAGCTGGATAAATTGATGATGGTAAATGATGCTATGATCATTTTAGAAAAAAGGTTTATCTTAAAAAGATAATGGGAGAAGTAGTTTCTCTGACCAAGAGATATCAGATGAATCCTCACATACCATTAAGAAAATCACTGAGGAGAAAGGGTACCTGCTTGAGCAGGTTTTTTAATGCTCTATTTTGAAAAAAAAAAAAAAATCCACAAAGGACATTTATTATTAAGTAAGGAAGACACATGAGCACTACGATTTAAGTCAGGAAGGAATAAGCTAACTACTGTTTTGTGCAAATGCAGTTGGGTTTATGATCAGGACTATCCTTTATCTATAAAGCTACTACCCCAGCCCCTCCTCCCTCCGGAACCTTTAATAGAAAAGGTAAACATCAGTTGAACGTCTTTTGGCTATATAAGAAGGTAATGGGAACTTTTTTTCTGAGTTGGTTCCATCAATCCATTGTCCCTGACATCAGGAGTACCTTGTCAGTAAATCTTTTCAAATTCTTACGATACTAGAAAATGTTTGTGGTCATCCAAAATCTCCTAAGTTCAACACCAAAGGCATTAAAGTATCAAACACAGTATCTCGAATTCATCCTCAAGATTAGGGTGTCATAGTGTGGCACTATAAGATAAGCACTGGACCCACAGGTTGGCTTGAACCACAAGGTTGGCAGTTCAAATCCACCAGCTACTGCTGGGAAACCCTATATAGGTCTGCAATGAGTTGGAACTAACTCGATAGCACGTAACAACAGCAAGTACCTTTAAGGCTCATTAACCATGGCATTCTATGGAAAGGATTATGAATGTTATGGAAGAGAACCCAGATAAAGAGAGAACATCATGAAAGTATGAAAGGATTACACCATGGAAGATACCATTGTTGTAATAGAAAAAGTCATGAACGCCATCAAGCTCGAAACAATAAATTCCTGATGAGAAAACTGTGTTCAGATGTTGTATATGACTTCACAGGATTTACGACAGCTGAGTATGGCAAAAAAGGATGGGGGTGAAAGGTTTCAAGATACGGATATTGGAGAAATTCAAGAGTTAATAGACACCACACCAGAGGAATTAACAGAAGATGACCTGACAGAGATGTGATTCTGAACAAGTGCCAGAAGAGAAGGAAAAAGCCATAGAAGAAATGGTCCCAGAAAACAACTGACATTAGACAATCTAGCCGAAGAATCTGATTATTCAAGACTATTTTTGACTTCTTTTACAACACTTCTATGATAACAGTACTGAAACAAAAGCAAATGGTGGAAGAAGGATTAGTTCTGTATAGAAATATTTTTAGTGAAATAAAAATACACAAAAATCAGACAGAAAATCCAATGTATTTCTGTAAAGTGACACTGGGTATGCCTGCCTCTCCTGCCTTGTCTTCCCAATTTTTCACCTCTTCCACCTCTGCTATCTCTGAGACAGTAAGGCCAACCTCTCCTTCTCCAGTCTACTCAACATGAACACAATGAATCTTGCAAACAGATGACTTAAGTTTGTGGCATTAATAGATATAGTACAATACAATACTATAAATGTTAAGTCTCTTTCTTATGATTTTATTAATAATATTTTCCTTTCTGTAGCTTATTTTGTTGTAAAAATACAGCATATAATGCATTGTTGTTATTGTTGTTGTTAAGTGCCACTGAATCAGTTCTGAATCATAGTGGGTTTGAACTGCCGGCCTCTTGTTGAGTAAAGTGCCATACCTGGACTCTGCAAAGTACATATAACATATCAAATTTGTTTTAACTAACTTTTCATGTGATCAGTAAGGCTTCTACTCAACAGCAGGCTGTTAGCAGTTAAATTTTGAGGGATCAAAAGTTATACATGGAATTTCAGCTTTGCAGGGATCAGCAACCCCTACCCACTGTGTACATGTGTAAGGGCCAAGTGAACAGAGTTTATTTTCATCTAAGAAACCACAACAAGCATTTTTCATTTCAGTGTACTTTCTGTACCCTCCCGACTACTCCCACTCTTACAGCTCTTACCCCGTGGAGACCCAGTGCCCCTCGATTGTGGGTGGCATCTGCACTGTGATCCGAGCACCATTGTGGAGATGTTTAAGCATGTGGTGGCATTGGGATTCCTTGAAGGCCCTCCAGGCGCTTTTCTCTAAGGACTTCGGGTGAGATCTGCTGTCCGGGTGCAGGAGAGCAGAACCCTCTCCCAGCCCTGAAAAAGAAAAGTGAGAGGTTAACCCACAAGAAAATTAGTGATAAACATGAATCAGGTTTAAGAATAGCCTATTGTTGTAACCAACGAGATGGCGGATCGGGTAGACGTGCAGTGAGGAGCTTTATCAGCAACAACACAGAATACTGGACCAAGCAGGCTCAGGGGAACTCTGAACCACATATAAAGGAATATTTAGAAGCTTGGAAGGCTTACAGCTAGGGGAATTTGTAGCAGAATCAAGAAATCCATTGCTTTATAATTCAAGATGCTCAGCTGCTCCTGGAGCCACCACCTAGGGAGAGACCAGGGGGGTGAAGACTCAGAACAGTCACGAACGCCTGACAAAACTGTAGAGATACAGGTGTGGACATTCATTTTTTTGGTATCTGTTCATTGGTCTCACGTAGTCTGTGCAACTCCATTTTGTTGACTAGAGGGGATGCCTGAACAAATGGACACCCCACCCCTGGAGGGTTCTACTATGCATGTGCACAGATCACCTCAAAAATGTAAAGTGACAGTTTCCACTTAAAACCAAATGGCCACCACTCATCTGTCAGTTTGTTGTACTGTGGTGGCTTGTGAATTGCTGTGATTCTGAAAGCTATGCCACAGGTATTTTAAATACCTGCAGGGTCACCCATGGTGGGCAGGTTTCAGATGAGATTCCAGACAAGGACAGACTAGGAAGAAAGAGTGACAAACTACTTCCGAATATTTAGTCACTGAAAACCTTATGAAGAGCAGAGAAACACTGTCAGATATAGTGCCGTAAAATGAGCCCCTCAGGTTAGAAGGCACTCAAAATGCGACTGGGGAAGAGCTGCCTCCTCAAAGTAGAGTTTACCATGATAAAGAGAATGGGTAAAGCTTGTGGAAGAAAAGCCCATGGGACCCTTATTTGCTGATGGGGCACAACTCAAAATTAAGAGAAACAGCTGTAAACATCCATTCAAAACTGGAACATGGAATGTATGAAGTATGAAATGGAATGGAACGCATAAATATCGGTCTCTTAAAAGACATTAGTGAGCTGAAATGGACTGTTATTGGCCAATTTGAATCTGATGACCACATGGTTTACTATGCCAGGAATGACATATTGAAGAGGAACAGTGTTGCATTCATCGTAAAAAAGTACATACCCAGATCAGTCATGAGGTACAACACTGTCTGTGACAGGATAATATCCATGTGCCTAAAGGAAAGACTAGTTAATACCACTATTATTCAACTTTATGCACCAAACACTAAAACCAGTGAGGATGAAATAGAAGATTTCTACCAGCTTCTTCAATTTGAAATTGATTAAACATGCAATCAAGATCATTACTGGTGACTGGAATGCAAAGGTTGGGAGCAAAGAAGAAGGATCAGTAGTTGGAAAATAATGGCCTTGGTGACAGAAATGATGCTGTAGAACGCATGATAGAACTCTTCAAAACCAATGATTGGTTCATTTCAAATACCTTCTTTAGACAGCAAAAGGGATGACTATACACATGGACCTCACCAGATAGAATACACAGAAATCAAATTGACTACATCTGTGGAAAGAGATGATGGAAAAGTCCATATTATCAGTGAAAATAAGGCCAGGGGAAAACTGTGGAACAGACCATCACTCATATGCAAATTCAAACTGAAGCTGAAGAAAATGAAAATAAGTCCACGAGAGTCAAAATATGACCTTGAATATATCCCACTTGAATTTAGAGATCTAAAGAACAGATTTGATACATTAAACACTAAAGACCAAAAACCAGAAGAGTTGTGGGATGACATCAAGAACAACATACATGAAGAAAGCAAAAAGTCATTGAGAAGACAAGAAAGAAGGAAAAGGTCAAAATGGATGTCAGAAGAGACACTGAAACTTGCTCTCCAGAATAGAGATGCTAAAACAAATGAGGAGGTCCAAGAGCTGAACAGAAAATTTCAAAGATCAGCTCGAAAAGAAAAAGATAAATATTACAACAAAATGTGCAAAGATCTGGAATCAGAAAACCAAAAATGAAGAACACGCTCAGCATTTCTCAAGCTGGGGGAACTGAAGAAAAAATTCAAGCCTCAACTTTCGTTATTGAAAGATTCTTTGGCAAATTATTGAATGATGCATAAAGCATCGAGAGAAGATGGAAGGAATACACAGAGTCACTGTACCAAAAGGAAATGGTTCATGTTCGACCATTTCAAGAGGTAGCATATGATCAAGAGCCACTGATATTGAAGGAGGAAGCCCCCGGTGCATTGAAGGAATTGGCAAAGAACAAGTCTCCAGGAATTGATGGAAAACAAATTGAAATCTTTCAAGAAAGTGATGCAGCACAGGAGGCACTCATTCATCTCTGCTAAGAAATTTGGAAGACAACTATCTAGATGACTGATTGAAAGAGATCCATATTTGAGCCCATTCCAAAGAGAGGTGACCCAACGGAATGTGGAAATCATTGGACAATCTCTTTGATATCCCATGAGAGTAAAATTTTGCTAAAGGTAATACAGAAATGGCTACAATCATACATTGACAGAGAACTTCCAGAGGTTCAAGCCAGATTCAGAAGAGGCCGTGGAACGAGGGATATCATTGCTGATGTCCGATGGATCTTGGCTGAAAGCAGAGAATATCAAAAAGATGTTTACCTGTGCTTTCGATTGTGTGGGTCATGACAAGCTATGGACAACACTGAGAAGTATGAGTATTTCAGAACACTTAATTGTGCTTATGAGGAATCTGCACCTGGACCAAGAAACAGTTGTTCAAACAGGACATGGGAACACTCAATGTTTTAAAATTTAAAAAGTTGTGTGACAAGGTTGTATTCTTTCACCATACTTACTCAACCTGTGTGCTGAGCAAATAATCTGAGAAGCTGGGTTTTATGAAGAAAAACATGGTATCAGATTGAAGGAAGACTTTCATTAACAACCTGTGATATGCAGATGCTACAACCTTGCTTGATGAAAGTGAAGAGGACTTAAAACATTTACTGATGAAGATCAAAGAGCACAGCCTTCCGTATGGATTACATCTCAACACAAAGAACACAAAAATCCTCACCACTGGGCCAATCAACAACATTCTTATCAGTGGAGAAAAGATTGAAGTTGTCAAGGACTTCATTTTTCTTGGATCAAGTATCAACACTCATGGAAGCAGCAGTCAAGAGATCAAACTACATATTGCATTAGGCAAATCTGCTGCACAAGAGCCTGAAAAAGTGTTGAAGAGCAAACATGTCAGCTTGAGGACTAAGGTGTGCCTGATGTAAGCCATGGTATTTTCAACAACCTCATATGCATGTGAAAGCTGGACAGTGAATAAGGAAGACCATAGAAGAATTGATGCTTTTGTGTTATGGTGTTGGAGGAGAATATTGAAAGAGCCATGGGCTGCCAAAAGAACCAACAGATCCGTTTTGGAAGAAGTACAGCTGAAGTGCTCCTCGGAGGCCAAGATGGCCAAACTTCGTCTCTCATACTTCGGACACATTGTCAGGACGGACCAGTCACTGGAGAAGGATATCATGTTTGGCAAGGTGGAGGGTCAGAGAAAAAGAGGAAGACACCCACAATGAGATGGAATGGCCAAGTAGCAGCATAGATGGACTCAAGCGTGGCAACAGTAGTGAGGTTGGCCCAGGATCGGGCAGTGTTTCGTTCTGCTGTGCATAAGGTCGCTATGGGTTGGTACTGACTCAAAGGCATCTAACAACAACAACATTGTTGTTTTTGTGGTTGTTAGTGCCATCAAGTTGGCTTCCAACCATAGCAACCCAGTATAGGATTTTCAAGAAGGGACTGATGAGTTTAAACCACCGACCTTGTGGTTCAAACTGACCTTGCAGTCCTGTGCTTATCCTATAGGGCTGTAGCAGTGAAAAATAGCTGTGAATTGGAAATGCACTCTTACTCTACCAAATTTATCTGTACATGTACCAAGTTGGAAGTGTCCTTGGAGATCATTTCATAGGTGAGAAAACTGAGATCCATACAGAAAATAAATTTGACTTTCTTGAGGTTAACTTTTGCTAGCTTGTGGTAAAGTCAAAACTCATATCCATGCATCTATGAAACAACAAATGTGGTTGTGTCCTAATGAGTACCTGTAGCGTAGGCACATCAGTACAAGAGGGGTTGTAGACAGGTTTTGGAATCACCAAAGAGAAAGGAGGTGGGATTGAAGGGAAAGGTGAGAAAGGAGTCCTTAGGAAGGGTGTTATTGTCAGGTGACAATGAGTTGGTTCCAACTCAGCAACCCTGTAAAACGTTTCTGAACAGTAAGCAGCTGGTGAGTTTGAACTACCGACCTTGAGGTCGAGTGCTTATCCACACCAGGACGCCTTCGGAAGGGTTGTTGTTATGCGCTGTTGTGTCATTTCTGACTCACAGCAACCCTGTATAGGGTTTCTGAGGAGTGGCGGCTGAGGTTTGAACTGCTGACCTTGCAGTTGAAAATGACTTTGTAGTCCAGTGCATTACCCTGCAGCACCACATCAGGTTGCCTTAGGAAGGGTTGTTGTTGTTAAGTGCTGTCAAGTCGGTTCCAACCCATAATGACCCTGTATAGGGTTTCCAAGGAGTGGCCAGTGAGCTTGAACCACCAGCCTTGCGGTTCAAACCAACTGCAGTACAGAACACTGGGCCACAGCACCATACCAGGACTCCTTAGGAAGGGTGGTGGTGGTGTGCCATAGAGTCGGTTTCAACTCAGCAATCCTGCATAGGGTTTCTGAGGCTGTAAATCTTTATGGGAGCAGAAAATGTCATCTTTCTCCCACAGACTGGCTGGCAGTTTCGAATTGCTGACCTTGAGGTTAGCAGTCTGACTCATAATCACTATGCTACCAGAGCTCCCTCTTAGGGAGGGAAGACATGCACAAAGATACATTTAGGTGAAGAAATCAAGGAGACCAGCTTCATGAAAATGGAACCTTGGCAAAGGTGGTTAGAGATCGGCTCCTGCCAAGACACTCATCTCAATCTCCA